GTATAGTTAATGAGCATTATTTTAGTCCTTATTCGTGACATATTCTCTTGTACTCTTTTGGTCAGCTTTATGAAGATTTCAAAATCTTTATATAAAGATATCCATGTTGAGCTATTATCAGGTATAAAGATCTATGCACAAGATGGATTTGAAGGACCTAATATGTCTAAATGCTTATGCATTATTAATGAATCATTGAAGTAATCAACTAAAAATGTATGATATGTGATGAGCTAGTGTATAATATACTTTAGCATATACCAACTAGTGTACTTCCTAAGAACGCACGCGCTTATTGGTTAATTGGAGGTGAATATTGTACGATATTCACCTATGAATCTCGGAATATTGAGTCGGCAACATAATGGCATCTGCCGGCAATCGTTTTGCTACAATTTCCGATGAGGAAATTGAAAAAATGAAAGTAAATGCTTTTCTTGATAATTTTTCAATTGAGACATTGAAGGACTAGCTTATCTTCATATCTATACACACTCTATGGTGATTTTTATAATCCCCCATGCACTAACAACAACACAATTGTAGTTTAGGGACTAGTTTCGTCCGTTTATTAGGACCTTTTCAACCTAACATATATATAACCTATATGTTTCTAATTTAACCTACCTAATCTATGTAACTTACCTAACAAACCTACCTAACAAATCTACCTAACTTACCTACCTACCTACCTACCCACCCACCTAACCTACCTACCTACCTACTTACCTTCCTACCTACCTACCTACCTACCTACCCACCTAACCTACCTACCTACCCATCCACCTAACCTACCTACCCACCTACCCACCTACCCACCTACCTACCTATCTACCTACCTAGGTTGAAAAGGTCCTAATAAACGGACCAAACTAGTCCCTAAACTACAATTGTGTTGTTGTTAGTGCGTGGGGGATTATAAAAATCACCATAGAGTGTGTATAGATATGAAGAAAGTAAATGCCATTCCTATAAATACTAAAAAGGCAACGAAGTATGGCCTAAAAGTTTTGCTAAAAGTTTTGCATGAATTTGTCACGCAAACTAAAAGTTTCTATGTTTCTGTTTGTTTTTATTGGATTATTGTATATAAAAATAAGTTACTCTGTACACAAGTTGGGATATGCTAAAACAATTAGTCGCCTCAGGCTCAGTGAATATGGAGAATATTTACCTCGCCGCTTGAAGACTCGCGTCTCGGTGAATATTCCCCGATATTCACTTCGTCTTCGACGATCAATTGCTAATGAGTTTAATGGATATGTTTTACCCCCTTTTGCAATAGCATTAAGGATCTTCTCATGATATGAGTTTTCCTATAATTCCTT